ATGAAACCAATAGGCATATGAAATGCAAATCCAATGATTTGAAATTTTGATTTTACCATGTTTTCTCATATCCTGTTTCCCAACGATATTCTTTTGGATCTTCTCCATCTATATCCGCCATTTTTATATATTTCTGCTAGGAACAACTTCAGGTCGAAAATATAAAGATTAGAAATTTAATAGCAATTTGTCCAAGAAAACGTATCTGCAAACAGCTGATAAATTCTTGTTTTTTTTGGACTCTACCTGCCAAGGCGTATTTATACAAGTTGGTTTTACTGGCGAATTAAGATTTTCGCCGCGGTACTTATTAATGTCAAAATTCAAGGCGAATTCATATTACACAGACGCACTCAAGGCGAATTTATACAAGGTGGTGTTGTAAAAGGTTCGTTCGCGTAGCTGTTAATTGTTCATGTTTAACCAAAACTTACAGGTTTTTGCGTTCGCGTACGCAAAAAACTTGCAAAGTAGGGGAAATTGAGAGAGCAAAGTGACATTTCATTTTGAGGGGAAGCTGTTAGTTTCTGTTGGAAAAATGTTTGCCAACAGCAATTTGCCAACAGGGAAACAGCTGATCAAAAAACAGCTGGTTGGCATTTACGCAAATCACAAAATTTAATTTGATGGTTTGGAAGATAAAAATTACAAAATGCGACAAATTAAACTTGTAAGAAATAAGTAGTTATTTGTTTAATCAATAAACTGTGTCAGTATAACACTTTGCGATGACTTTTCGTACGTTTTAAATTTTACACTTTTGTATGTAAACAAAAATTATATCAGCTGTTCGTCTAACTTGCAAGTGTCTGCAAATTTTCTGTTCGCGTACTATTTTGGATATTTCTCTCTTGTGAGCGAACAGATGACATTTCGCCGGAATTTGGCAGTTGGTTGGTTTCTGTTGGAGATTTTAAACGAACGCACCTAAAATCAGCAGATCTTTTCGTCTTACATGTATTTTGATTTTGCTTTTACTAATTTGACAGCACATCCATCAAAAGCAAAAACAAAATATATGTAAACTTTGGAGCGAATTGAGATTTGACATAACTCCCTCCATACAAAATACATATGGAGTGAGCAGAGAAGTGAGTTGCGAATAAGCAAGCTATAAGTTTAATTGTGTTAACAAGTTTAGTAAAGCGTTGTTATTGCTTTAACAAGTATTGTAAAGTGTTTTTACTGAATGAGCAAGTATTGTAAATTGTTTGTTGTACAATAAAGTTAATTGTACTACAATTTGGTCATCGTGAGCATTTATGTAACAATCCAGCGCAGAAAGGCTATAGCGAGAGAATGAGAGAATGTGATATAGACGCATGGACGAAAGACACGCGAGAAGGAAAGAAAGAAAAAAGTTATTGTGCCGAATACTGCGGCAACGAGAAGCGAACAACGAGAAATAGGCAGAATGTTCGAGGAATGACGTAGAATGTTCCACAAAGAGAAACGTCAAGTTGGATGAATACTGCGAACAGCGAGAGAAAGAGAATGAGCGATAAACTTCAGAATGTTCTAGAGTATATAAGGGCGCCGCCACAGCGAGGTGAGTTAGTTACAAGACAGCAAGCTACAAGTAAAGTGAGCAGAGAAGTGAGTTGCGAATAAGCAAGATATAAGTTTAATTGTGTTACCAAGTTTAGTTAAGCGCTGTTATTGCT